CTCACGTTTGTTCTTACTCGTTGTTGTCGTTCATGACACTCCTACTGTTAGTTTCAACATTTTAAGCAGAGAAAGCCGGTAGTTAGAGCTCACTTTATTTATTGTTCTTCACACTTATACATATGCTTCTACATATATTTACATACATTCACACATTAATAGTATACACTATATATATATATACACATATAATATTTAAATTCAGAGCAAGATATGTGTAATCATAAAGTGATAGAACGGAACCAAGTAACTTGCCATTATTAGGTGCGGTGCTCTGTTCTGTTGTAGTCTTCGAAACTATTCTTTTTTTTACATTAAACAATCTGGCATAAAAAATTTTTACATCTAAATATATACACATAGATATAACCGCGTCATATATAAGTACATATATATTATTAATTATCCTTACAGTGCTGACCCACCTGCATGTTTCTGATTTGGATTTACATACATACACACACCCGCTCTACGATCACGTTTTTTCATAAACTATAATAGGGTTGCTTGTTTCCAGCTTCACTACTGCATCAATGTCACTGTCACTGTAATTTTTTTTTGAATTTATGCCAGGCATGCAAAATAAATGCAACAAGATAAACAACATATTTAACCATATGTCAACATAGCAACTGAAGTTAAAGTTAAAAAAACACAGTTACATAGTTAATTTTAGTTAAAGTTAAGTTTTATGGCTTCAAATATAAAAATTTTCACATATTTACTTACATATGTATCGTATATGTGGATGTTCTAACATATTTACATACATATGTATATATTTTGTACCCACCAACGTATAACTATTGATATTTTGCAAAATTACACCCTGCATCCTTGAGTTTGCGCGTTGAGGAAGACTGCTTTCCACCATCGTTGAGTAATTGTGCTCTCCCAAATTCGCAAAATATACGTGTCAATGTAAGTGTATCGTATACCTGAAGCACTGCATTCAACATTGAGAACTCTGCTCACCATACTCCCTAACTGTTTTTGCACACTTGGAGGTGCCTGCATTGGCGCAAACATGAATCAGCCGAATTTGGCACATGTTTTTGCAGTTGTTACACCGATTTGTTTAATAGTATGCATCACGCATGCATAAGGGCAGGTATTTGTTATTGGTGTAACTTATAAATAAACATTCGAATGTAAGCACATACATACATACATATAAGTACATACGTTTACATTATCGCGAGTTAGTAGATATATGATACAAATGTAAATGCATAACTTTAAAAAGACTTTCCATCACAGATATTGTATGTACATTCTTAAATGTTTTCTAAGGCTTTTGTTGAAATAATAGGTGAATTTGGTTTTTGCTTTTCCAGTTTTGTCTAATACGGATACTAATAGGTTTGAAGTTTGCACTAGCAAATATTAAAATTGAATTTTTTAGCTACATATGCTTTAAACGTAACTTCCACATTATGAAAAATCAATCATAATATTACATCAGACATACCGATATCTGTTGTCTGCAAACGACCAAAAATTACCTCTCTTCAAATGGAATGGAGGACATTCGACATAACCATAATTAGAACTATGGCATGTTGGTTTAACTGTACCGGTATGCTCTCAAATCAATTTTAAAATATGCATTAATAAATATTAGTATGTGTATCTTCACGTTTATCAAAAATCGAAAATACAAGAGCATATGGGCAACAATACCTTATTGTATCAAACTCTTTGTAAATAGCATTTTTATAAGTATCTCTCTCTCTCAATCTGTGGAAGCCTTTTTCTTTGTATTAATATAAATTTTGCGTCCATCTGTTTGTATATAAATACATACACGCAAAAACAATGTACAAGTTAGTTAATTATAAAATAATAGGAATTTTTTACGCGCGATCATGATCAAATCTGCCTTCTTTCTTGACCATTGATTTCGGTAATAAAAACATGTAAATATGCATGTATCATGATCAAATCTGCCTTCTTTCTTGACCATTGATTTCGGTAATAAAAACATGTAAATATGCATGTATATTATGTATTATATGTACATATGTATATTTATTTTCACATGACATGACATATATTTGAGTAACCATCAAATGTTTCGAAATAAAATTAATACTTTGGATAGCGGCATCCTTTCGGAAGAAATGAAAACGTTCGGGTTATTTCATATTTAAATAAAATGGACATAAAATGTATAACGGCTAAAATATATTCACTGAAGGCAGCAGAGTTAATTAAGTTTTTTAAATACCACTTGAGTAGATATGCGATTTGGTTTCTTATGTGTAATACGAACATTATGTTATATTTAGAATTCGAGTTTGTTTCAACGAATGTAGCAAAAGTCAAGGTTTTTGGAAGTTGTGAGCTGTAGTTGTAGTGTCGAGACCCTTTAACAATTACACTCGGTTCTCTTTATTCTTAAGAATCAATCAAAGTTGGGTCAGCCAAATAATTTTTGATTTATTCCAGTTATTGCTAGCTTAAGAAGCATAATCATATTTATATTATAATTTCTTTACCATTATTTATTTCACATTCGGTTTGTTAAAGGCCGTCAACAGTTAGTTTTTTATTCTGTTATGGATTTTTTAGAAAATTGAATGCTCTAAAAAATGGGTTTTCGTAAACCTAACCGATAACAACCTAAAATATATTAACGATTGAATTTTGACTATTTTAAGGCAAATTTTAAAATATAACTCAATAAAAAACATCATTTCAAATTGAAAAGCTCATAATTTTGTAGGAAATCACCTGCTCTACCAAAACCGGTCTCTATTTTTTTTTGGGTTTTCCTTTGATAGACATTGACGTTTGATGATGAATATCTCGTAAACGCTTAAATCAACCGAAAAATTATACAGACCATTTTGGTACCACGACCGATTTTCATTCATACTTGAAGCCTGAGCCGACAAAAGTGTGATAGAAATATATACATAAGCATGTGAGGAGTGCAAAAATAGCGATGTATGTGTACATACACATACAATTATAAAATGTTCTTTCTCAGCTTTAAACAACTACCCCGTATTTTTTGATTGATCGAAAGCCACTAACACCACAACCTCTAGTGTTTGCGACCTTGACGTAAGTAAGTAATACAAATACAAATGCAGTTACAATTGTCAATGAGTCATCAAAATTTGGTCAGTGTCGCAGAAATCTCAATTGACTGCACACACATACAAAGCGCATTCAAAAGCATTGTATATGTATGTATGTACTTCATTTTCATATCCATACATTCATGCGAAAACAATATGCGACGCGATATAAACTGAATCCTTGGTACTCATTTATTTAATAATATACATACATATGTATGTACACAAGCTCTACATGTTGTTGTTGGATTTCTTTAAATCACAATTCGTGTTTATGACGGCGAAAAGAATAGGGTCCCATTATTCTAGGTTAACAATTTATATAATTTTCCGACTTCTCTGTCATGATGTCAAGTATTGGTTGATGCAGTTTTGAAATATTTTCAAGGAGTTCAGTTTGCTTCAATAATCGTTTATAAAAACAAGTCAGTGGTATATTTAAAGGCAGCAAACTGCTGTTTATTTTGATCCACACTAAATTAAAATTTAAAATAAGTATATCGGCGACAGTTAAGAGCTTATAAGTAAATTAATGTTTTTTTTAACTAAAAGACTTACAATATGTATGTATGTATGTACATAAGTAATTGGTACATATACGAACAAACAAAAGGATTATTGATGTAAAGTTCATGGTCAGTTGGTAGAACAAGTTTTAGCGCAATTGCTAACGACAATAACACTGAGTGACTCATCGCTCCGCGAACAAGATGAATAAACACATACATACTTACTTATATAGGTATGTATGAAAATCCAAATGTATAAGAATGAACGTTTACCATTATAATATACCATATACCATTCGAAAATACTTACATACATACATAAAATAACGTTAAATTTTTAATTGTTAATATTTAGTCAAAGAGAGCGCTTTTTTATTTTAAATGGAAGCGCAGCTCAAGACATTCATGAAAACACTTTCTTAGTTTCAAAATTCCTCTTTCTCTCATTGTTAAATTGAAAGTTTTGAAAAATTATTGGGAGATCCTCCAAACAATTTAGTGGTTAAATTTTACATCGACGAACCATTTCAAGTTTTCTAAAGTGCGGGGAAAAGAATAGATAATTTGATGTACAATAATGAGTATTATCTTTCCAAGGAATATTTAGGAAAATAATGCACGCTAAACTCGTACTTTCTATTGGGGAAAGGAATGAATTTCTTTAGTAAGAGCTCATCTTTTGCATTATAGCCTGTAAGGCGCAAGCAACAACTGAACGCTGAACATCTCGGAAATTGCAATATTTTAATCCATGTTGCTACATTTGGCATCAAATTTAATTTAAATAATTCATTTCCTTCTCTCTAATAATCTAGTAGCCTTGTTTGTAAAAAAAAATATTAGGACATGATATATAAGGTATGATATGATATTATAAGTGATTAAAGTACGTAAACGTTGCACACTTTAGCTGATAACAAGTTTTTTTCTTCACTTTATTCTTCGTTTCTCATTATTTTTAAATAACTTTACGTAGTACATCCGCAGGCAATATTTATTTGTGAGCTATTGCCATTTGCAATATTAATTGCATTAAAAAAGATATAATATCTTCCCAGTGTGAGAGCGCCTCAAAATTAGTGTTTTTTAGAACATTTTCCATTGTAGCCAGATCGGACAAAATAATAATATTTTGATTTTAAATTAAAATACCCAACATTTATTAAGATTAAATATTATTATACGTGTATCCGTTAAACATATGAAAAAACTATTTAAAGCCCTTTTTTGTGATTTTGTGATATATTAAAACAACTGATTTTCGAACTTTCAATACTTAAAAAGTGAAAAAATGTGTTAACTCTCAATTAGTAAATGTTTTTTATCATTTTCAATTGAAAATTAACATTTCGATTTCGCGTTTTCTTTCATTTTCATTGATTTTCAATTTTTATTAGTGACATTCTTTAGGATTTCAATCTGGCCCGTCTCTCTGTTTCCAAATGCTAAACTTTGACATTTTAGGAGGTTTTGACGTTTAGCAATTGCGGTCTCATTTCCAGAGAGAGATAAGTTGGGCATCTCTTTATCTCTATCGACATATCCCATTCGACATATTCAACATTCTTTGATTGCGGCAAATCGTGAAACTTCTTTATCGACATTACTTTTTAAATGCTTTAAACTATTGTGATCTAGTAAGATCTTACTAGATCACAATATAAAACTGACAATTTCACGTGTAAGACATGGTATAATATTACCCCTTTACGATGGTGTAAGCTCAAATAAAGTGATAGTTTATGGTCTGCACTCTAATCAAAACATAAATATGGAGACATTCAACTCACATCCCGGTTTTTGTCCAGTATGTGGATCCATTCTTCCACAGTTAAATACAGTGGGATATGTTGTATGTTACAATTGCAAAAAGGAATTTCCTCCAGACGGTAAAGTGTTTTGTGAAATTAAAGTACAATTTGAACTAATTTTAATATATGCATTTTTTAGTTTTTGGATCACAAGACGTTGAGTACACTATACACTTCAACAGTTACAATCCAGAAAAGTTATTTGACAAAGCTATAAGCTACTCGGATGATGAAGCGGAAGGACCGGTTGTTGAACGCAAATGTCCAAAATGTGGCAATATGCAAATGTCTTATGCGACATTACAGCTGCGTTCTGCTGACGAAGGGCAAACTGTGTTCTTTACATGTCTTAAATGCAAGTATGTGCAATATTTATATATATTAAAAACAAATTTAAAAAATAATTTTTTTTGCAGATTTAAGGAATCTGAAAACTCATAACTTCGATGCAAATTTGATATTTGTATGTTTTTATTTTGGTTATTTCATTGCACTACATACATATACAATTTTTTTATTGATAGTAAATGCGAATTCATTAAAACGCTGTCGCTTTTTATTGTTATTATTTAACTTTGTCTTGGTCTGCTTCCTGCGACTCGTCACTATCCTCATCTTCTTCGGTATCCTCATCACTGTTTTCGTAAACATACTCGTCTTCATCACTTTCATTTTCCTGAGCATAACTGGAGCTTGCACTGGCACCATAAGCACCTGCGCCGTAATATGAAAATCCTCCATATTCGTCATCGCTATCTACTGGTGCCCCCTGTTGTTGACGTCCGAACTTATGAGATCTCGTTGACATACTCAAGTCTTTTGTGACGGAAGTCTCATAATTACATTTCGGACACGGAATAGCTTTATTCTTTTCATATTTGAATCCTTTCCTTCGCACGTGGTCTTCACAGTAACAAGTTTTACAACGCAAGCAAGAATACTGGCCCAACCGGTTACAGCTCTGACATTTAAAATTCTCCGATTCCAAAACTTGACACGACGCTTGGTGTTCAAATTGGTCATCTTCGCATAAAAATCCATCACAAAATGAACATTTGAAAATGCGACCACCATGCTCCCAAACTCCACGCTCGCATTCGAGACAAATTGCATTTTGCAGAGGACAAGTGCAAGCATGTGTTTGAAGACACTTCCTTCCATGACACACCCAAGCCTCACAGAAATCACAAATCGCTCCGACCATACCAAGACCAGTGGTATATACTCCGGGATGTTTTACGACACAGTCGCCAGTTTTCAACATGCATTTTATCTTTCCACATTGGGCACATATTGGTAAGCGTTGGAGGCTCTGGCAAAAGTAGCAAAATGCTCTACTCTTCTGCTTTTTATCACACTTTTCACATTCCATCGGTGCATTACAGGGCATGTCAGCAAGTGGTACTTCACGACTTCTGATCTCTTTGAGACGCAATTTTTGCTTTTCAGCTTTCTTCCTTTGTCCAGTTTTCTTTTTCGGCATTTTATATTCGTCACTTCTACAAAACTTTAAATCACTCCAAATGCCACCTGAGCAAGTTTATCTAACATTCCATTTACCAGTGATGGCAATTAAAAGTATTAAAAATTCATCACCTCTTTCTTCGGTTAAAATGACAGCTAACATCTATTGTGAATTACTGCATTGACAAAGTTAAAATAAATGTCACATGTTGACATTTACGACACCGACGAGAACGAGTTGGCTTATAAACATTATACTGTCAAAAATATTATTCGTTACTGTTGTTCAATTCTTAAACATTTCAACGCAATAAACTTTTAGTCTATAATTTAATATATACATTTATTGTCCCACATTACTTTGGGGAAAGGACTTAACAATCCCAAGATGTCGTCATCTGTTCATTGCCAATTGTGGATGGGTAGTGTAAGTAAAATATAATTACATTATTAAAGCATTTCTCTATATATCCCAATTTTAAATAAGTTTAGTTGGAGCCGTACATGACGGAAAATTTTATAATAGCGGCTTTTCGTAAAATGGGTGAGGAGCCAACAACAGTTCGACTTATGAGGAACAAATATACGGGTGAGCCGGCTGGTTATTGCTTTGTTAATTTTGCGACTGACGAGAGTGCAATGGATGCAATGCATAAACTAAATGGCAAACCTATACCCGGAACTAATCCGATTGTTCGTTTTCGATTAAATAGCGCAAGTAATTCATATAAACTTCCTGGAAACGAACGAGAGTTCAGTGTATGGGTTGGAGATTTAAGCTCCGATGTCGATGATTATCAACTTTATAAGGTGTTTTCAACAAAATATACGTCTATAAAAACCGCCAAAGTAATTTTGGATAGTTCTGGGTTTTCGAAAGGCTACGGGTTCGTACGATTTGGAATCGAGGACGAACAAAAATCGGCATTGTATGATATGAATGGATACATTGGGTTAGGAACTAAACCCATAAAAATTTGTAATGCTGTCCCAAAACCAAAGAATGAATTAGGGGTTGCACTTGGTACAACCAGTAATTATGGTTATGGTGGTGTTGGTATTACTGGGACATCGACCACAACAGCGACAACTGCGGATTATTCTCAATACTATGATCCTACTAGCACTTATTGGCAGAACTATAATTCTTGGCAAGGATATTATGATCAGAGTGGAGCAGGAGCTATATCAGATCCCAACAGTGCATATTATCAACAATCAATGGCACAATCTCATGCCAATCCACAAACATTGGCACAACATGCCGAGGCGTGGAGTGCTCAGCGTGCGGCACAATATGAACAACAAGCTGCAGCTACAGCTGCTGCTAATAATACAACTAACGTTGGTGAAGACGATGACTACGCTTTAGTGGAACACAAGTATACACTGGATATAGACAAATTGAATCGGGAGACATTAGATGCAGATCGTCTGTTATATGATGCTCTAGAGAGTTCAAAATGGCTCCCACTTGAACAGCTGGAAACATACTGATTTTTTTTAAAGAAACATAACTAGATTTAAAATTTTTCAAGAAATAAATATGAAGTAAAAACTTTCAAGTGAATAGTTTACTTAAACAAGTTATCGCTGTAAGAACTTTTTTTATTTTAATTAAGAAATTTTCATCGGATTTTAATTTAAGTTTCAGATCAATTTTCATATACATGCATACACAATTTTTATATAAATTCTTGTGCGTCGAATTCCTTTCTGTATAGTTTGGCCTTCATTATTACTTATAAAGCTTATGCTAAAAACCAAAAAACTTCAATTTTAATATTCAATAAATATCTAAAGTTGATAAAAAATATAAGATTAATATTCGGAGTTGAAAACCAATTGAATGTTTGTAATTAGTCTTTTGTATTCTTTATAATAAATGAATATGTCTACCAATACATTTCTGAAAAAACTTTGGTTTGGACCGATTTACGTAACAGAAATGCGAGTAAATAGAATATTAGATTAGATTAGATTAGTTTCGAGGTAATAGAATATTAACTCATTAAAAAAGTATTTTTCTTAAATACGATCCATAAATATTTCGTTTAAAAAATTTGTATAATACGAATTATAACTAAAGGAATTTCATTTGGCTTTTTTTGATTCTTTCTTTTTATTTGCTCCACTGCTACTACCAGAGATTTCTTTATTCTCTTTCTTCTCAGGTTTTTCCTCGGGATGATCCTCATAACTGCAACAATCATTTATTTAATATTTAAGTAATATAATAATAATACTTATAAAACTTACGCAAAAAGACTTTTCAGTTCGCCTCGCACCAACGCCACCAACAAAGGAGTACCCATGCACGCAGGAACAAGGTAGAGTAGTGCTGGTTGCGCATGTTTAAATACATGCATTACAAAAATAGTCGCCAAAAGTCCAAGGAAATATGCCACCAAAGTTGAATAGAAGTAAATGCGACTTTTTCGTTTGGAACTATGATCGAAGCGTAATAGTAGCGCTATGAAAATACCTGGAATTACTATATCACCCAATCCTAACATCGCAAAATTAGTTCCACTTAGGCCGTTTGTGGGTAAATCTTGTGGGAAAACCAATTTAATTGGCGCTTCGAAACTTTTGGCTACTGTAATCATCACGTTTGTTCCAAATACCCAGAAAATGTCGTAGAAAAACAGACCACTTAAAAGAATACATCCGGTAACAATGTTGTTAAGATGGAGTAGTTCAACTCCGTTCACAGCAAAAGCTAGTCCGAACATATTATTGGCAATCCAATGTTTTTTATATAAATACCATACGCCGATCCCAGACGAAATGCCCAAACATACGATATCATGCGTTGAAAATTTATAATTTATAATATCCTCTTTCTGCTTTCCTTCACCTTTGGTAAAGTGCATATGAAAAGGAATTTTCGGTACTGCCGTAGGCATCAATGAATTAACGATGGGACTAAGCAAGTGTGCTAATGCGATAACACCCAAGCAAAAGAAATATCCAGTGAGTAGCAGGTTAATATGGTCTTTAGAGAAAATTTTGAAGAACATGTAAAGTCCAAAGAGAGCGGCTGAGGCGATTATAGGGAAGAACATTGCATCTTTTTTGGTCATTGTTTCGGCCTTTTCGCCACTCACCTGAAATAAGGTATATTTGTTATTGCACTAAGTATTATATGTGCAGAGTTAGTCTTCTTTATACAATATCTAATTACCTTTTTGAGTTTGTGCAATTTAACTGAACGAATTGAACCAAATACAATTGGGAGCATGGCCATTACCACCAAACTTCCATATGCAACTACAATGCCCTCTGGTGTGGCTGGAATTTTTTCATTTGTTGTAGTTTCACTGGTTGCATTCTCCACCGCATCTTTAACGGCATCAGTAACGATTTCCACCACCGGATCGGACATTTAGCGAAGCTATGTAATTTTTAACAATTATTGTGCTAAATTTATCTATGATTATTTTAGTAAATAAATTTTATCAAGTTGACCACGCATGCACCACAAATAATATAGAAAAGAAAGTGTTGTACTAGATATTGCACCGTCTCTTCTTCTTACCGACAGCGGTAGTGATGTGTCAAAACAGGTTGGCACTAATGTGAAAACGTGTCAATAAGTTTTGGGATACCATATCTAATCCAAAGCGCCTACCAAACAATAAAATGGTAATCAAACTAATAAGAATGCTGTATGTATTAAAATTTAATACTCTATTTATATTTTTTATAACATATTAGAACGATCGTATAAAGTGTTAAAGAAAAGTTAAGTAATATGTGATAATAATAAGATTTTCCCAGTGAACACTCTGCGTAAGTACAATTAAATATTTCAAAAGCAGCAAGTGTACATCATTATCGACAAAGATGTAAGGACAACCAACTTTACTATAAATCGTACAAATAACTGAATTGACTTGTCATTCCCGGCTATAACTACATTCTGTTTGGAAATTTGTAGATTAATATAAATAAAATAACCACAACTTTAAACGATGGAGACAATTTTGGGAATACGTGGAGAAGACTTTGCCATTGTTGCAGCTGAAACAACTCAAGCTCGATCCATAGTTGTTATGAAGGAAGGTAAATAAATAAATATTTGTAACGGAACATTGATAAATCTAATATATCTAATTTACTAGATGAAAATAAAATTCACAAGATAAATAACAGTCTTGTATTTGCCACAATGGGCGAATCTGGCGATACTGTTCAATTCACGGAATTTATTTCTAAAAATATTGCGCTGTACAAAATGCGAAACAACTACGAACTGTCACCCAAAGAGGCAGCACATTTTACTCGAAAGAATCTTGCGGATTACTTACGTAGCAGAACACCATACCAAGTTAATATGATGATAGCGGGGTAAAAATCATATTCATACATGCATATTCGAATAATAATCTTAAAGTGATTAAATTTTTAGCTATGATGAACAAACACAGAAATCAGCATTGTACTTCATCGATTATTTAGCTAATTCTGTTGAAGTAAAATACAGTGGCCAAGGCTATGGAGCAATGTTTTGTCAAAGTATTTTTGACAGAGAATATAAAAATGGCTTAAACCAAAACGAAGCCTATACGATTCTTGAGCACTGCGTTAAGGAAATACAAAAGCGTCTTGTAATAAATCAGAAAAATTTCAAAGTCGCTATCGTAAATAAAGATGGTTTCAAGTGGATGCCCGACATTAATGCCAAAAATATATGTAACTAACTTAAAAAAACTGATTTCATTATCAGCACCATATCCTTTTGATTTATTTTAAACGTGGTTTATCTTTAAATATTTTTGGGAAATTTTTCAAAAAAAGCAAATATACGAACCAGTTTAAATACATAGATGCTGTATTTATTTATTTGAAGTTAAAAATATCAACATATAGCAACGAAATATCCTCTTTTTGGAAATAATTAGTTAGGTTTATATCATGTGCAAACTGAAGGGGGCCAATCCAAATCTATTTCCACTACATCAAGCGCTATGATATCGATATGTTGTCCAATCAATGACGCCACTGATGGAGTAGTTCGTCCAAATTCTCCATGAACCAACTCCTTAATGTATGTTCCCGCTTGTGTTACGATGTCAAGGATAATTAATTTTTTATTTTGTCTACAAACTGATGGCTTTAGACTATATATAGTTCGAGGTCTTGTGTGGAGTGGTCGACGATGTAATACACGTATCGGAGTCTTCTGTTGGATTTCAAATCCATTCTGAAAATCCAGCCGTTTTAAAATATCTACCGTCACTATGGTGCTGATTTGACAAAGTGCACGGTAGCATTTTCTTTTTTGTTCTTCTCCCATTTTTATGTGTATTAATTCTTCTCGTTTAACTATCTGAATATCGCGAACTGATACCTTCTGAGAGACATCTATATTTTCCTCCATTTGACGGGCTAAATCAGAAGATAGTGACGATCGAAAAGCATTGGGTATTTCCAGCACGAATGGTCGCCCTGCTCCAAGGCACCTAACATCCACATCTTCTCTACCACTTGACATAAAGTTTACTTTTTTTTGATCATCACTAAAATAAAAGAGGTAATAGTATTACATGATGATGAAAGCAATCCAATGTAAAATAAAATATTTGTATAGATAATATAGCATATTTGTTTATTAAAGTGGTTCCTTACCAAAAATAATGAGCTATATTACGAATAATAATCTCCTCTATGCTGTCGTCCATTACTCTTTCGCCATTCAAAACCCATGGCGTATGTGATAGTTTTCGGGAAAGCTTTCTATATCGCCCAGCTACATAGGTTACAGGTCCAATTAGAGAAACTGAATCGAATCTAAGACTTTCGGTTGGTATCGACGGAGGCACAACGAATGCATTTTTGAATAACTCGGAACTTACTCTTAGAGGTGTATATTTTTTCTCAATTAATGATCTTGACATTTTTTCCAATTTCTGACCCTTCTTTCGTGGATAAACCAAGCTATTCAGTTTCTCTAATTGAGTGATTCCTTCCTGTTCTTCCGTATGAATTAAATTTATAGTTAACATTAAGCCATTGCTGATATCATATGTTTTATTTAGTCTTTCGCAAATAGTCGGATTCAAAATTAGCTTTATTGCTTCTTTCAAAGATACGTCGGGTGCCCGATCTAAGTTAATATTATCGCCAAATTTATCTAATAAGGCGTACCACATGGACAATTGGCGTAATTGTAGAACTATCGGAATACTAATAGCAACAACAATTCCATCGCACTCATATTTATCGATGTCAGTGCTCTCTATGGATTGAAGGAGTTGTTCTTTAAAATCTTCTGAAAATAAGCCCAAACATGTTGGACAGACATTCTGGCGTTTTTTTTTATTAGCAGGATCCCCGGTCCAGTCAATTTCCTCGTCATAATCGACATTAACCTGAAATATTCAAATTAGAATAGTTCTTAAATTGTATTCGATTTTTAGTTTGGTACCCGATCAAAATACTCCTGTTTATTTTGATATTCATTGCCACGAGCTTTGAGATAACGTAGTTGGCAAAACTGGCATACACTACAGCATTTAAGGTAATCAATCAGATCCTGATTTCTCATATTAATAACATTACTTTTTAAATATCACGTATTAAACTAGTATGAAGAAAGCCACTTTGATCACACTTCTTTACCTGCCTGAAGAATTTTAAAGCATAGCGTTACACTGCGTTGTCAGTGACTATATTACCATAGAACAGCTGTGAGCTTTGACGTTTCTAAAGCATAATAATTTAGTTTATTCAATTTTCTCCGCTACTATTTCCGACCAAATAAAATAAACTATTTATAAAGAGGTAGATATAGCATTTTCTGAATATCAAGATTTTTTAATTGTGGATATTCTACAATACTAATTAGCATAAGTCCTCAGGAAAGTCTACCTTATATCAAAGAAATGTTACGTCACTGCTTTAGAGCTGTCTGTAACTAGTCTGTAATATACACAGATTATAATTTCCTTTGGCATAAAAACCGTCTTTCAAATACATCTGAAGATTTATTTTGTTATTCTTCAACAGTTGCAATGTCTTTGGGACCATTTTTGCGTACTCCTTTTACGGATTTGACTGGATGTTTGATCAATCACCAAACCTATGAGAAATGTGGAAAGATGGAAATGGAAATGATGGAATGTCTTGAAGCTTACGGAGTTGAAAGGGGTCAAAAAATGTGTACTGATATTATTGCAGATTTCAGTGAATGTGTTGGTGTACAGAAGCAACTAAGGAGGTTCCATGTAAGTTTTAATGTGTGTAAATTTAGAACAAAACAATCAAACCCTTACGTATCATAACTTACAGGCAATGCGTAATGAACGGCTAAAACAATACTATTTTGGTGACCGTAAAAAGGAAGAACTATTTGCGGATCCTCCTAGAGTTGATGCTTTCTAATAAACAAAATTTAATGAAGTTTCTTGAAAAGTTTGGATTTTGCTTTTGCTAAAGAATTTTGTTCTGCATATGCATATAAAAAAATAGTATGTCTATTGGTTAAGGTCCGCAATATATTTAGTAAAAGTAAATAGATAGTAAATCCTTTCAATCATTTATATGACTGCAAATGCATGAATAGAAAAACGTCATTCAAAATATTTGTAAACATTATTTCAAGAGTAAAACTTCAACTTAATTTTTTTTCAGTCAGTCTTATGCTTCTATAGTTGCTGGCACTAGCCAAACATAAAATACGGGCACATAAAGTCACACCAACCACCGGTTATCTTCACCATGTGTGGAGGTGTTGGCAAATATATTGGATAAAAATCAAAACTCGCAGCGGTGCATATGTGCTCGTATCATATAATGTAAATGAACGTTCATTTACGTTCTATGCTCTTATATCCATTGTCTGTTGTGGAGAAAGTATCAGAATTACCATTTCTCAAGTTATTTGGGTTGACAGTTCAATGCCGAATATAAATCCAGGCCTTTTCCATTATTATTGGTATTAGGAGTTACTCTTACAGCATAAAGGAATATAGCTCTGGCAGAGGACGTCAATGAATATTATATTCATTATATATTCATTGGCGTTCTCTGCTCTGGTTCTGGCAATCAAATGAATATACTTCTTTATCGACATAGTCTTACCAGAGAATGTCTTACTTGAATATTTTGTCCAAGTGTCAGATGTGACAGATCGAAGATTTTTATAATCATATGTGCTTGTGCATATATATAAACACATACTAGACGTGTTCTTATCAGAAATAACATTCTCTAACGAGGGAAAATTATTAGCGAATTTGTGACGGAAGGAAGTTGGAAGTGTATACGCAAATAGGATATCAGTATAAAGTTTTGAAAAATTTAACATTTTAAAATACTTCTAATAACTTAGTAAAACCGGAAAGCTCAAATGTAAAGTCGAGTACGAATAGATGTTTAATTGTTTATCCTGTGAGACTTTTATATGCTACCTATATGTATGTGATTACAATTATTTGTGTAAGTTTCAACTTCATTAAAGTATCATGAAAAATAAGTAGACAGAAGATTCTCCCTCCGACCTTCATGCAACCTTCAGTTGTGCCTCACATGTGCCTCACTTTTGATTGGTTTAACGCTCTTATAAGCACTGCTAGCAAAACCAATGCAGTGCTTACTTCATTGTATAAACGTTTTATTGTCGCTGCTAAGTAACACAAAATAAACAAAATTGGGGTTATAAATTTAAAAAAGTCGTCATTGTCTTATTTAGTGCTAAAAGTGCAGTGAGCGAATAGTTATAAACATAACGGTGGATAATCATGATATTCTAATTATACAAATACGTATATACATATGTATAAGTGGATTGTGTATAAGCATAAGTAACGATAAACATTTGTATGTATATAAATACATTCATAAGTGCTTATAAACTCTTACCAAAATGATAAGAACAACACAGACATTTGTACCTAGAAATCTGTATTATTTACACAACAATATAAATCTTAAATAAAATTTAATAAAAATCTTAAATAAGCATTCCTCAGTAAATGGTACAATTAAAATTTCTCTTAGAAATTTTCCTAAAGGGGTGAAGAAATAAGTTCCAGTACAACCGAGTAGGTGAAACACATTTGTTGTGAAATCTCTCTTTGGTAAGTGATATGTGACGTAAAGCCAAATGGATGGAAGGAAATAAAAATCGTTGAGTGGGTACTAAAATATACTGCAACAAATTTTAGGATTTTACGACATTTTAAAAGAAAGCATTACTTGCAATATTCCCTTAGGCTCTTCGTAAGATTAGACTGAGTTTAAGTCATTTTCCCTCAATTACCTTTATCCTCTGAATAATCATCAGCCATTCGTATTTTAGAGTAATTACACCTATAGTCTATTTAAAGCTAAAATATTTGGGTTACATGTGTCTTGCAACTTAAAATGAAGTCGTTTTTCTGGATTTTTGATTTTTGAAGCTACAACATAAATATTATATATATATACAAAAATTTGCATTAAAAAATATTATAAATTCAGCCGTTCAATATTATAAATTCAGTATTGCTTGAACGAAGGATTTTAAGAAAACTTGAAATTCGAATTTTTCTTACCCTTTATTCAAGCAGTAGTCAAACATGTTTAAAAGATGTATGTATGTATCCAAAATTTGAAGTCCATCGGTTCATAAGTTATCGAGAAATTTGACTACCGACTTCAAAAAAGCAATTTGAGAAAACGCGGTTAAAGTTTCTGAAAGTCGAGTCGACCGTAACTACGAGCTTTAAACGCCCATACATATTTGGAAATTAGGCTCGGATCGGCTTGAAATTTTCAGACAATATTTTTCATGAGTTGTACAATTGAATAAATTTTTTGAATATTTTTCTTGTCATGGTTAAGGTTCTGCCCACACAAAGATCCCGTGATCCACACTATCAGTCTCCTTACCGAAAATAAGCGAAAAAGCGGAAGGTTTGAGAGTTTTAATAAACATCAAACATCATCAATGGGTTTGTTTTGTTTTAATAACATTTGTAGAAAATTCGGCCAGGATCTAAAAGTGATTAAGAAAAGTTATGATGGCAGATTACTTATAAAGAAATTGTCAACTGGAAAATTATAAGTTTTAATGAACATGTGTTGGCACCAATATATCCAAAATCGATCTTATATTAAGGGTAACAAAACCACTATAGACCAGTGCAATATTTTAGATTTAAATGGCATATACACACATTTACCATGTGTATATATTTAATGCACCACAAGATGAAACTGTATATTTATTATTTGGCAATACTATGTCTTTGACTTTAGACGTGAAACTTGATAAGGACTCTTAGAAAAATTCGATGTTTTAGCATTATACGTTGACAAGAATATTATGTTATCTAGTGTTATTTCAACACTATTTCATCAATTAAAATAATATAAATTTGATGTACATACATACTAATGCACATACATTGTGAATCATAAATGCTAATTTCATTTTCCAGAGCAAAAAAGAACAGTCAAGTCGTAAATTATCTACACCATGTGAAGTGATATTAAGTTATAGCATTATGTAATATTTTTATTACATATTTACATTTTGATCAACACAAATAACACAACTTTAAGTGCCTTTCAATATGTGTGCCATGTAACGCTTTAAAGAGAGTACACCTGTAGTACTCTCTTTAGGGTATAGTTGGCGCTCAATAGATCCCTTTCAAATATAATTTATTTAAATAACCAACCAAATATAAATAGGATATAATGGAGATTTATTTCGTTGTAAAAAGGTTACAAACTATTTTGTTATTTATCAGTTTTTATAAAAATATCATTTTTGTTATATGAACTAAGATAGGTATTGATGATAGTAATTAATATTCAATACATGCTTGTGACGTAAGCTAATAATTTTTCAGATTCATTAAAAAGTCAGTCAATAATTTAATTTCCACTTAAACTTAAACTTGAAAATCAACAAGAACCTGCATGCGGATATTTTCGGAATAAAAAGAGATAAGGTATTAAAATGAGTCAAGGGCAAAGTTCTAATTCGGGTGGTCAATTTATGGATCGTGGACGCATGAATCAAAATGGGGTTGTCCAGCCTCTTTTGACAGGTGAGTCCGTTTAATAAATGATTAGTATATTCTCCTAACCCCCATCCATTCAGATTATATAGTCATCTATTACTAAATATTTGTCTAGAAAAACTGTAATATATTTTCATAAGAATTATTTTTTTCTGTCAGAATACCATATGTACAAGTACATAAGCAGTCATAATTACAAGTATATAATTACTCGCTACTTACTTATTAAATGATAATTTTTACATCAACTTTTAACAAAATAATGTATTTTCTTAGATCTATATCAGATTACGATGGCATACGCTTATTGGAAGTCGGGAAAAACTGATGACCAATCGGTGTTTGATTTGTTCTTTCGAACGAATCCGTTTCATGGAGAATTCACCATATTTGCTGGACTGGAGGAATGTCTCAAATTTTTAGATAGTTTCCACTATTCAGAAAGCGGTGAATACTCTATTTTATTATATCATTTAAAACAAATTAAATTGTACAATATTTTCTTATTAGATATTGACTATCTGAGGCAAACATTACCGGAAGGTGTAGAAAATGATTTTTTTGAATACTTAGCCAGTTTGACGGCAAAAGATGTTACTTTATACGCCATCGATGAGGGTACAGTGGCCTTTCCAAGGTAACCAAACCCTAACTTCTTTTTTAAAATGAGAAAGCTTTAATGCACATTGGTCTTTGCTTTTATGATATAAATAATTTATGAATTATCTGCAGTACTGTTTACAAATATTCCGTCCTTACATATACGAGTATACACATACATATATTTCCACAATAATTTAATGACAATGAACTTTTTGATAAAGTACAATATATTTATAAAATCAATTAAATATTTGTATATAAAATGAAACAGGGTACCTATTATCAAAGTTGAAGGACCTTTGATAATTGTGCAGCTCTTGGAAACAACATTATTGACGTTGGTGAATTATGCGAGGTACATTAATTTTTTTAAACGTTTACATAACCGTATCTATGAATTTCAAGCACATTTAATTTTGATTGATTTTAGTTTAATGGCCACGAATGCTGCTCGTTATCGTATGGTGGCTGGAAAACATGTGAAACTTTTAGAATTCGGCCTACGACGTGCTCAAGGCCCAGATGGAGGATTATCGGCATCAAAATATTCTTACACTGGTATTTAATATTGATTCCATTGCTAAAATTTAGACATTTATTTTTCCTTTTACGAACACCAGAAAAAGTTGAAAGGCTATAAGAATTAGTTTTGCAATCAAATTACACGTTGCCACGGTAGTAATCGCATGCTTATTACATATAATCAATTAAAAGTACTGTGTTATAGATCCATCACCTATACAGGTGTCTCATTGATTTAAATGATTCAACTATTTGCCCACTGCAAATAATTTTTCGACTATTGCTTGATGATGTGTTTGCATGCAACCACTTTTATATGCGGCAATACTATATCATGGAGCATGAGTCAAGAGTAAATTAACACTTTATATATTTACAAACACATTTAGTTCCTAAATACATAGGCATGCCTATGTATGTATAGGTGCATTTCATACTCTTGCGATTATTGTTATTGAGCATTACTCAAGGTAATAAACAACAAAAAGTGTCTTTGTTTGATTGCGGAAATTCCTTCAGAAAATAGCAAATGGAAAGTTGTTTTGAAAGCATTATCCATACAAAAGTACGCCCATATTTAGCATTTGTTTTGCCCAATTAGCGTACCATTTGGTGTCGGGCTATTTTTCACGTCTGACGTATGAAAGTACCCTCGAAAAGGACCATGCGTAATACTATAGAATTTTTCTATACTTTTTGCGTTGTGCAATATATCACGGAAACATATTATGTAAAAAGAGATTTCGTTTTTGTGCTTTACAAAATTTTTTTTTTTTTTGTATTTTTGTGTACAATATATAAATTTATATTTGAAGTGTATAAACTTAATACAATTAAAGCATTTTTCGTGAGAAATATTTATACATTTATCTATTAAACATATGTAATATTTTGTTGTCAAGGGGGCTTCGATGGAACATCTAACGTGCTGGCAGGAAAACTTTTCAATATACCTGTCAAGGGCACCCATGCGCATGCTTATATTACATCATTTTCTGGAATTGGAGAGTTAAAAACCCGTCTATTAAGACATAAGACAACAGGTATATCGAAGCATTCATGTAATAATTTGGTTGATGACCATTATCTTGAATTAATTCATCAGGTATAACTGGTGATCTATTGGATCACGCTGTCCGGCATCGGCAGGCATTAGCACAAGTGCTGGACGTATCACAGGAGGAGTCTAGTGAAGGTGAATTGGCGGCTATGGTGTCCTATGCTATAGCGTTTCCCGATGGATTCATGGCGCTAGTCGATACGTACGATGTTAAGAGGTATTTCGCTTCTAGGCAGATTCTCTCGGAACTACAATTTTTCTATATTTTGTTGTTTACATTTATACATATTGAACAACATATCATACTTTTCTATGAAATGCTATCACAAATATGGTATTTAGCTTTAGCCCAAGTCAAATTAAACACAAATTTAAAGCTAGTAGTATACATACATGAATGTATGTATGCAACATACATAGGTACAAAATACAAACAGTATAGAAAATGCACGTCCATATAACATATTTAAGTGTTCTATTTTTAGGATTCGTCATTATAAACATTCACACGTTTATGCCTATTCAAATCGGGTAGGATAAGCGATAATATACATATGAATGTATATCATATATCATATTTCATTAATAAAATGTGTTATTATGTCTTGTCCCGCTATATAAATGTTTAGCTTACTTAGTTTGCGAAATAAGTTCGTATATGTACATATAAACCAATGTATTTAACAGCAAAGTACAAACTGCGAAGTCAAGCAAAGACAAAAGTGTGACAAACAATTACGATATTCCTATGAACTTGTCACAATCTAACGGCCACATTCTGCAGGAGACAGTTAATGGATATTTTACTGCAAATGACGTGCTTGCTAAAAATGAAAGTCTAGTTGCTACGAATGAAAGACAATGTATTGGTGCATTGCTGGACCTTAATGATGCAGTTAAATCAAGTACGCTCTTAAATTCAGCCAGTAAACCTAATATCATTTCTATAAACAAGACAACCGATAGACAAACTCTAACTTCTGCTCCAAACGCGTATCTGCCAAAATATGTCGCGAAGTCATTCAGGTAAATCAATATTAGGCTTTAAAATTCTCGAGAGCGTTCTCTAATATTTTTATCATATTTTTGCGATTAAATTTATTCCTCGCCCTATACATTACTATACATACATTTATGTATTAAAAAAATTTAGATGATAAACATAATTGTAATATTGGTATTTTAATACGCCGATATTCGTAAACAGGTGCTTTGAATTCCTACATAAAAAGTGAAGTAATATTTACTTCAAGTTTCGAGGCTGCATTTACACGTTTTTCTCGAGCTGCTATCAATTGAAAATAACGAATTTATAATTCTACCATATGTATTGTACATATATAGCAATAATTTGTTATTTTTTAATTTTACGGTTAAAATTCTTAAACTTAAAATACATAAATTTACAATGGTACATACAGGGAAGTTCCATAATACTAAACATCCACACTCATAACGTAAATGTTAATGCGTAAGTCCATACGTTTTTATTTGGATCCGTTCCTGCATTTAAAGTCCATAACATTTGTAATGTATTATTGATAAATTGTTCAATTGATAAATTTGTCTAAGGAATGGATATTCATTTATATACATACATATATTATTAAATACCATACATTTGTTTAAACAGAAACGTCTATTTAAATATAATGTACATTTATTGTTGATCACCAGTATCCCATTTCTAACATATAAACACATATACACAGTACATACATACGTATTTAAGCATGCATACCTAATCTACATTAATATTGAGATGTGTTTGTGAAAAATTACTTATGGTTTCCTTTGAACACAAATAACGATTTACTAAAATGAGAAATCCTCAAAATTAAATATAAATGACTTCCCGGCACTATTTTGGCAGAGGTATGTAAACCCGAATCCATAAATATATCTTCAATAAAAACAAAAAACAAAACAAAAACGAGCATAAAAGTGTTTGTTATCATGCGTGCTGCCAACTAAAACATCAGTACCATATATTACGCTTGTTGTGTGTGCATTATGCGGATTGAAGGCGGCTCACATATGCACATATTATGTGTAAAGCCATAATATTTAGTTTAATGTGTTAGCTCTACTACAAACTTCATTATATACATCAACAAAATGCGTATACCATAGTTTATCTCCATAACATTTGTTGTTAACAAAATGTCGACTATACTAATGTGGTGCATACTTATGTACGTATTCATATAAAGTTACACCCATAAGGACGAAAAGGTACATGTCTTATATAAGCAAGAAATTACATTTGTTTTCTGTCTTTGAATTTTCATGAGTCTTTTCCCGTCTTTTGTTTATCCATATTTAAAGAAAAAATGTGAAATTGTGTCCGAGAGAGCACACTGCATGGCTTATGTGTTTCTTGTGCATTTTTAGTTTAACAGTTAACTTTGTTTTTTTAGCTTTCGTGTGATCATACAGTAGTATATATTAACTTATTATTATTATTTTTTATTTAGAACACAGATTTAAATACGTAGCTGCACACATTTCTCATAGATACATATGTATAAACGATTTGTAATATCAACAAACAAATCTTCAAGTGCACACAATAATACAATTAGGATGAGATATATGATCACCAATCATGCTTGTAGCTTACCGATTCCTAGCAGAAGCAGCAAAATAGTTTCACTTTTAAACACATTCGCTCTTTTTGGAGTATTTTAATCAAACATGCAAAAGCACGATTCTTGAAGTCAAATATATTTACTTAATAGTTAACATGTAACCATCAACTGCCGACCGTTCAAATATTGCCCAATGGACAAGAGGAAATATGATTGGAATTGCTACAAAATTTTGAAAAACTAAGAATTCTATGAAAATGATTTGATATTAGTAAGCACAGACCAATTTGGACAATATTGGAACGGTCTCATGAACTTAGTAATATTTTTGTAGGCGTATCTAACTAGTTAAATATCGAAACAATACACGATATTATAAAATTTTAATTTCACTGGATTATATTGTTTGCATTTGTAATTTTATACTCCCTATTCTCTCTCAACTGAATTCCGTCCATAGAAGCGGGCTTTTGAATTTCTGTGCTGTTGCATTGGCGCTCAACGATTTGGGATATCATGCAGTTGGTATTCGCATAGACTCCGGCGATTTGGCTTACTTATCTTGTTTGGCACGCGAATCTTTTGAAAAGGTTGCCGATCGATTTAAGGTGCCATGGTTCAATAAGTTAACAATTGTTGCATCGAATGACATCAATGAAGACACCATTCTCAGCTTGAATGAGCAGGGTCATAAAATTGACTGTTTCGGAATCGGTACTCATTTAGGTAAGCTCTATGTGCATATATGAAATTGTACATATATATATATATATATATGTATGTATCTGTTACTATGTCCAAAGAATATATATGTATATATCTATTAGCACAGAATAATGCACGTATTTAAAACTATTTCTTAGTAACATGCCAAAGACAGCCAGCCCTCGGTTGTGTGTACAAGCTAGTTGAAATAAATGGACAACCACGCATTAAATTGAGCCAAGATGTCGAAAAGGTCACGATGCCGGGTAACAAGAATGCTTTCAGGTACATATTGTATTATAATTGGTTATGGCACATTTTATTATTTACATACATCGGCCGAATATTTCCAGATTATACAGTGCTGATGGACATGCCCTAATTGATTTACTACAGAAGGTTTCGGAACCACCTCCAAGTGTTGGTCAAAAAGTTTTGTGCCGTCATCCTTTCCAGGAGTCAAAGCGGGCTTATGTAATTCCCTCCCATGTTGAATTATTGTACAAAGTATATTGGAAGGACGGCAAAATTTTACAACAGTTACCTACATTAGAACAAGTGCGAGAAAAGGTAAAGATTTCGCTTAAAACGTTACGGAATGATCACAAGCGCACACTTAACCCAACGCCCTATAAGGTATGCAATATCTAACTTTTCCCATAATATTCTTATTTATCAAATTAATAAATGTATTGTCTGTGATTTTGTTCTTACAGGTGGCCGTCAGCGACAATTTATACAATTTTATCCACGATTTGTGGTTACAAAACGCACCGATTGGCGAACTCTCATGATCTATATAATTTTCTAATTTTCCAAATGAGTTATGGTGCAAATCGTATGAATATAAAATTGGAAAAGAATTGTTAGACATAGACACCGATTTAAGCAAATTACAATTAGAACTCTCAATTCAATACATTCGTAGGTTTATATATGTATATATGTATATGGAAATCGGATTGGGGAAATATAAGGTACGCGTTACAGAAAATACAATTAATATACATATGTATATACATACAATAATATATACAGATTACAGCACAACTTATCAGGAATGCGTCTTGTGCCTTATGTACACAGACACGATTATATGTAAATGCATATGAATGTAAATTCGTTTGCATGACTCTTAAGTACAATTATTAGTTACGCAAATAAGCGCCATTGCAGTTATGTACACATAAATGTGTATATACATATGAGCTTTTTAATAGATGTTAGTTAAACAATAAAATTTGCACAACTTACCCTTCTCTAAACCCTTTATTGTGTATAGAATGCGTAACTAAAATAGCATTCCGAATTAAGTAAGCCACAATATAGGCAATTTCTTATTAATGAACATTATTTGTCGGCCTGACGCACCCAATGTAGTTTCGATTTATAATGTCTGTAGTTAATTAAGTTACATATTATGACATCAACAAAGCGTACACACTAAAACGTATTTTGAGATACCAGAAAATTAAATAAAAAACGTGTGTTTAAAATCAAGTATTGATTTGTGTTTGTCAATTATAAAATAAAAGATTAGAAACACAAAAATAAAATTTGTACAAAAAAAATATATATATAGTAATATTCCGATTATTATTATTGGGAGATATTATATGTAAACTCTTTATAGAGAAAATTACCTGACTATTAACTCGTTAATTTGTAGCGTTGCTTTCTTCATGAAAAAAAATGGAAACACACATATTTATTTTAAAATTTTTATTAATTTATTGGTTGTATCATTGTCTTGTACATTTCAAAAATTCATATCCTTATTAAGTATATTGTTATGAAAGATCTTTATAATCTACTGTCAATCGTCACAGAGGGATTGTTCATCGATTTAAGTATGCATGTATTTTGTATATTAAGTTTCCGTCCGTTTATTTTCACGTGGGGACATATGTATGTATGTATGTATGTATAGTATATAATTCACTACATAATATGAAACTGTTTAACGTTGAAGATAAATAACTTATATATTTTTGTCACTATTTACTATTCCGCTTTTATATATGTATGTTCTTAAATTCTTTATTGTTTGGTTATAGTTCTTTGATTAATTATCTGAGTATTTGTACACTTCTTGCTTTAAAAATTGTTAATTAAGGAGTAGTCATATAATGCAAATCGTAATGTGGATACATTGCTACTCGGCAATGTTCTCTGTTTTCGTATTACAACTTAAAAAATATTAATAAAAATATTATTGTTTTCAATATATTTCTTTATTTTTTAGAATTAGGTGTTTTATTTCCCAGTTCTCCTGGTTCCTTTTGTTGTTGAGAGGTCTTTGGCATTTCAATTACTTAAGTATATTTATACGATTGTAGCAATATTTTATCTATAAAGTTTTCAATTTAACAAATTGCTTCTTTGACCATAGAAATCACGGTACTAAACTTCAGTAAGATTTATAAAAATGTCAGATAATTGTGTGCTCGAATAGAGTATTGGATGCTCACTTTCCCTTTAAGTATATTTACTTAAACGCAATCAACGCATTCTCCATAACAAGGATGTTTTGTATATGCTTATTTCAACTAGATTTAACCAGATTTAACAACACTTAAATGATTTGCTTTATTGCATCAGTTATTTTCTCTTCCGATTGAAGCTGTACATAAAGGGATTAACAATGACATAAAAACGAAATGTTTTTTTGTTTGCTGAAATTCTAATACAGTATATACAAATTTCTAATATATACACAATACGTTCGGTTTTTAACCAACCGTCAACGCAATATATTATAGTAAAATGTTGTCTTCTCTACTCCAAACATGTATAAGGATAGGCATACTTATCTATAAAAATATGTGTCTATCCCGGAAAACAAAAAAAAAAAACTTCCTCAAGAATAACATATATTCAAGTATTTCCCCTTTGACAATAAGGAGAATTAGAGCTGACGCTGAATAATGTGGCGTTATCCATACATATATAAATATTAAAAAAAACGTATTGAAAATTAAATGTCACCAATTTTCTAATAAGTTTTATTTGTTTTTTAACTAAAGTTTATAAGCTCCCTTAATAGTTAAATCTCCAAAAATTTTGTAAAATGGAGAATAATGTTCGTCGAGTTTTTAACAGTAAAAAATGAAACACGCAACTTATTACAAATTATTGTAGTTTTATTTTCAGAAAATTTAAACTTCTTTTTAAGCTTACAATAACACAAATTCTTAACTGTCATCATTCATATATCTTTTCAATGTAATGTAATATTGTTTTTTGTTTTTCGTTTCTACAAACAATATGTTTACAGTCAAGCCGACTATAGATAATTAATTTTCAAAAATGTTATGTATATGTGTATATTATAGTAGCTATTTTGGATACTTAAGTATTTTTGTGTTTGAATTTTAATGATGTACAAAATTACACAAGTGGTAACCTATTCAATCTTATTCTTAGAAGGTTATGTTTGTTGTGCTAGCATCATACCCTCATCGGAATTGGAGTATTTCAACTCCGATAGCATATCTTGTACGCAATTGTAATTTTGCACCTTTTTGGTATTGTTGTTATTATTATTATTATTATTATTTTAATTAACATAAATGGCTTTTCATATTATTTTACTATTTAATTTTTATTAACAAACTTATTTGATTTTAGAAATCTTTACAATTTGTTTTTGTTTTTCTTTGCTTTTTTAACAAAACAAAATCACATTGAATTGTTCAAATTTATTGAAATTTATATTCTAATTTGGTCAAAATATTAAAAGACAACAAAATATTTTTGAAATATACATATATAAAAATAAAACAACGATAAAGTGACTAAGGAGACACAAAGGAAGGCAGAATCGTATGTAGGGTTATTAACGTTCTAATGCTAAAATAAATATTATAAACAATACTAAATAAAAAAATATTAGCAATTTTTGTACAATTAAATAATGTCAAACGAACTGAGTAAGTTGTTTGCGCATACATGTGTAATTGAAATAATTCTATATGTATGTGTGATATAAAATTATTTCAATTACACATGTATTCATATTGTGGTTAACATAATAATGAGTTAACATATCTATGTATGTGCTGTATACATATAGTACATTGTACATATATGTTGTTTCACCTTTCAATTAATAAAAATATATTGATCACTTATTTGATTATACAAACATGCATTTTTCATCAAAAGTGATTTACATTTTAACTGGTGGGCTTATCTGGCTTGTTTTGCGTCAAACATAATAAACAAATATACATATATCATATATTATATATTATAAATACAATACATACGTATATTAATAATATAGTTAGAAGAAGTAACTATATTAATCAATATTTAACAATTTTAAGGACTAAGTGTGCACCAGCATAGAAAATACCCGGATTTTTGAACAATTTTATAAAGATATTCACATACAAAAATGCTGAAAATGCAAGTATATGTGTATTTGCTATGCGTGCTTGTTGAACTCAAATATAGCGGGAGTTATCGAAAAACAGTAGTAAATAAGTATACTTATGTGTGTGTGCATAGCTTTTTTTCTGTATCGTTTGGTTCTAATTATATTTTTAACGAATAATAATTAAACTACGGACATTAATATACATATATGTACAAAATAAATGAAAAAGGCCTACTTACAAATATTGAATTAATATTATAAATATACAAGTATGTGTATGTACATATGTAGGTTTCTTAAATAAATTGTTTGTTTTAATTCCTTTTAAAGCTTTGGTTTCAGTAAATATTTATATATTTGTATGCTTATTTTTGCACTTTAAACAGAATAACAAGAAAATACAGAGCAGTTGTTTTAAAAAATCCAAAGGAAATTACTGGGAGAGCGTACTCGAAAAACGGGACATTTACCAAAAAACTGGTAAAAAAAAAAGTAAGGTTGTTTGCATATGATAGTAAAGGGTTTCAGTGATTTAAGAAAGAAGTAATTCTCAATATTTTGTAACAATTGTTTTCAGAACAAACGGTGTGTACAAAAAAACTTAGCAAACGAATAAAACGGTTTGTATTATTTATGTTATGTATGTACATATAGTATGTGAATACACACGTGGGTATGCGTTGAAGCTTTTCACATTGTGTTCACCTTGCTTGTTATGCTTAGAATCTAGTTGATTGCATTAACCATTAACTTTTGTCATCTAACTATTTTCCAACGATTATTTCGTGAAAGCAAAAAATTTATGTGGAAGTTCTTAAAAAATTGTAACGGTTCATAAATTTGAAATATTTCAATATTCCATAAACACAAACACATATGTATGCATGTCTTTATTTAATGTATCTGAATAACTGTAATACTTTAGTTCAGTATTCTTCAGCATTTTAAACCAAGGAAAATCCTTGAAAATTACGTCTTGATGTGTGAACTTGTGGTAAGCTTTGAAGCATTTTAGCATGGCAGCTGCTACATAGTAGACTAAATTTAATTAAAAGAGAAGCACATAAATACATTATGTACATATGTGAGTATTTGGATTATTTACACTACAATTATGAATTGTACTGTTCACAAAGGAAACAGAGTAAAGGTGTGTATTTATGTATGTATTTGCACTTGTACTAAGAAAGTACTCTCACATTAGCATGCTAAATGAGCTTATCATGTTGGCCTGGTTTGATGTACTCTATCGTAGACCCTTCGAACACGCCGACTATCAGTCTTATTGCTTTGTAACGGTTACATTATCTCCTCTTTGACCCATAACTCGGTGTTTGTTGTCGGTGTTTCTTTTTTACTTGCCTTCGTGGCGAGAGGTGTTCGGGTCACCTGATCTTTACATATGTTATTGTTGTTAACTTTAGCACTGACGCTGAATTTTTCGTCGTCGAATTTTGTAGCCTTATGGACTTCATTTGATTTTCCCGACGGCATAGATTTGCTGAGAAATCTTCTATCGCGTGTACAATTTTGCTCTTTTTTAATGTTCAATGCCCCCACTTTCATATTTTCACTGTTGTCACTAGTTTTAATCTCATCGCCAGTGCTGTCTTGAACATCCTCAAAACTTTTTTCAACTTCGTTGAACTTTGTCTTTTCTTTTACTTTTTCCAAGTCCTCGCGATCATCCGCAGGTTCAGATATTTTTGCAAGTGCGTCAGATGCTGACATTTGGGCTTTCTTCATTGACAATTCATCACTACTATTGCTGCTGTCGAACAACTGTCCTGCAGTTGCGGCTGAATGAGGCGACAGGGGCGTACTTGCTGTCGGTACTATACCTAAAGAGCTGCTGTGAGGTGCTTGAACATCTGTCTCTACCGTATGTGAGCTCGTTATGGGTGCGCTGCTTTCATCTCCGTCTTCATCGGATGTATTTGTATCACTGCCGCTACCATTTGTAAGAGTAAAACGGGAGGCCTCCGCTTCATCATCATTTTTATTTTTTGAGCACTCGTTGTCGTAATCCGATAACGGTGCCTCGTCTTCCGAATCGAAGTTGGGATCATGATCAGTTGCTTGTGATGTATGTTCTACTAAACGCCCCATGTTTTCTTTATTTATTGCATACGTTCGGTTTGAGCTGTCACTGCTTTCACTGCCGCTTTCGATTCTAGAACGCTTCGGTTGCGGCTGTGTAGCTATATCAATTTCATACACATCATTTTTGCTGTTCGCTGTTTCATCACCAGTTTCTTCGATGTCGATGTTACTTCGGATATGATCAACGGTATCAACAGCATTATCGGCCTCCTCACTTTCCTTATCACTCCCATTATCGTCATCATAATCGTTTTTCTTACTGTTGCCAGAAGTTTCCTGTTCAACTTCATTTTCGCTGAATTGATCATTTTCCGATTGATTCCTTTTCTTTCTTTCGTATAACTTTGTTTGGCTATTCACTTTCACTAAGTTGTTATCATTTTCGCCGCGGTCAGTTTCTTTGGTTAGACTGGTGTTTACAAAATCGTTTTCTTCTAAGATCGTTAATGATTTTTTCAATGGTAAGCTGCGAATCTTTTCATCTTGAAAACCTTGTTGGTTGTTTAAACCATTCGATTGAATAGGGGTCTCATGTAAACTGAGAATTTGCATATGGTGTCGACACGCTCGCAGTTGCTCTCGTAGTTCTCTGATCATTACGTCACGTTTGTGTGTCATTTCGCTCAGTTGAAGATTACTATAACGCAGTTGTTGGTTTTCGTGTAAAACTTTCCTTAGCAGTCCGAGTACTCGATCTCGTTCTTTGGGCCCGGTATCACGAAGTGCTTCAACGGCCATATCCCACGGTGCTAAAATATTGCTGCTATCCGCCTCTCCATTCACACTGTCATCGTCAGTGTCTGTTGACAGCTCGAATTCGGAGCCGACGTACGGCAGTCCGTTGTATGAGCTTTGAATCTGGGATTTTTGCTGATTTTGTGCATCCATCACATCTGCCCGCATTAGAACTTTTTTGGAGTGGGTGCTCAAATTTAGCCCTGTTGTAGTGGAAGACTGTGAAGGCGAATGTTTTACATGCTGTAAATTTGGTTGAGAGCGGATGAGGATGTGTTGGTGTTGTATTGTTGATAGCGCTTGGTGTTGTTGCTGCTGACGTTGTTGATCGTAAGCTCGCTGATTGTGCTTATAAAATTCAAACTGTTGCTGATGCTGTTGCAATATTTGCAGTTGGGGTTGTAGCTGTTGTTGTTGTGGTGTGTTATTGGGTTCTTGTTGTGTATGAAGTTGGGACAATGCAGCTGTTGGAGGTAGTGATGGTGGAGGTGTTGGCGATCTTATTATATTCGACCGATTGATTAAGTTTTTGCTTATCCGAATTCGGCTATGCAATTCGTTGTGGTTACTATTGTTGTTGGCAGTAAAATTTGCTGTTATCGGTGTTGGCAGAAGCTTGGCATGCTGATTCACCGTAGCAATAAGCGGCTGATTTGGTTGATCTCGGCTGGATTCTCGTCTATGAAGGTAGCACTGCTCATTGTCGCCGCTAATATATTTGCTATCGTTGCATGGGGCAGGTGATGTGGAAGATGTGATCTCGTTCGAACCGGAAAATTCTTGAGAACTGTGCGAATCAGTTGGAGAGAGAGGGCACGTACGTGGCGATTGTCCTAAACGGGTTTGCTGCTCCTGATGTACCAAGGTTTGGGCATGCTTGTGTTCCTGTTGATATTGTTTTGAAGGGGGCAGGTGAGCAGGCAATAATTGTTGTTGTGGGGGCGTCGTAGATGCCGTCGACGATGTTGAACTAGCAGAAGAGTTTGAGGTATAAAGTGAATGTCGTCGAGGTTGCAATTGCTGCTGCTGCTGCTGCTCTTGAAGTTGCTGCTGTTGTTGATGCATAACGTCTGCATCACTATGACAACTGCTGCTATTACTATTGCTATTGCTATTACTGCTGCTATTGTTATTGCTTAGCATTTTTCGTTGTTGTTGGTTCATGGTCATCGACATAGGCGACACTATTGGCATAGCCGCAACATTATCGCTAATGGGTATATTGATACGGCAATCGGAAGGATCCTCGTCGCCACCGCTGGTATTAATAAGCGGTGGCGACTGCGGTATCTCATTCGGTGTATTGGCACGTTCTTGTTTTATTTTTAGTTCAGTGGGGCACAAACTTGTCAATGAAACTTGTTCTTGTAGTTCTTGTGCAGATTTTTTTTGCTGTTGCATAGTTTGATGCTGGAGTAAATGTTGCTGTTGAAACTGTTGTATTTCTCGTTCTCTTCGACACCTCTCGTGTTCATGTTGCTCACGCTTCTCTCGTTCTCTTGAACGCTCCTGATCTCGTTCTCGTTCAATGCGTTCGCGATCTCTTTCTCGTTCCCTGTACTCACGGTGCTCCTTTTCTCTATCCTTAGCCAATACGCATTTTCGTGGCACAAGAGCCACATTCGGCTGATAGGTGCGTTCGAAACGTTCGCGATCTGTGCTACGCACTACTCTTTCGGGATTTTGCAACACTGGTGGTTCTTGACTTAAATAGGGTAGTGTGGAGAATGCTGATACCGCGTTATAAGTAGCAGCTGGATGAAGGAAAGATTTCGGTGCCCATGGTCTAAACGCTGACATTGAGCCGATCCGTTGCTGCTGTGCACAATGTGCATACATAAGCGATTGATAGTGCTGATATTCCAGCTGATAGGCAGCCGCGTCTTCAAGACCTTTCGCTTTCTTCGTTGGAACAGCAAGCATTTCAGTGCGCTGCTTATCGTTCATATGAGACACCTGTTGGTGTGGTGGCGGTGCCATACTTGACAGTGAATGTCCCATCTGAGAAGTGAGCATTTCGTCATCCACATGTAATGCATGCTGTAATGAAAATGAGACAAACTGTTATTTCACCAAACATCTTAGCACATACGAAGGTAATTTACAAACATAATATAAGTTATTTATATTAAATAAAAGTTAGAGCTATTCTATCAATTTCTATTGTAATAGAGCAGGAGCTTCGATAAAAAAATATTAAATTTTTTTGCCTTGATGGATTTATGCATTTCGAAAGTTTTACTGATACTCGAGCCGTAAAGGGACATTTTGCTTCAGAAATAATTTTATAGAATCTAGGAGCTGCTTCCAACTAGTAGAAGGGCCAAGTTATAAATTGCTAAAACCGTTAGTTGCTAAACGCAGCTTGTTTATTTGACACCAACACCATTACTTGCTGGCGGTTGACTGCATAAGTAAACCATTAGGCTAGCTACACAATGGTGCTGAATTGTTGATCGAATGTCGTCACTTTGCTACTGCGTTGTCTTAGCAATGGCTGAAAAATAGACAAACAAGCGAAACATCAGTATTGCCGAACGCTAACGACCCATTAGGCGCAATAGTCGTAAAAATCAAGGACCATAAAGACAATCAATAAAAGAAAACTTGAAATACTCAAAGAGAGTTTCTTACTGCATTGGTCTCAGCAGCATTTGGGCTTTATCATCGAATCATCGAAAGAAGCGTTGAAACCACGGCGTTCCTAAGCATCGATGCTCGTGTCACATCAAACTGCTTATTGTTACCGTGAACATCATGCTTGTAGAGAAGCAGCCGGTCAGTTCAGCAAGGCTCCCGGGATGCGTATCTTGCGCAGTGCACATAGAGTTGTACATAAATTATTTAAACCGGGTTATATATACAAATCTTATGGAATTTGTTCAGATTTCTGTACATATATAACTTCTTGTGTGTCCACTATCCTTTTCGCCAAAGAAATATTTTAGATCATCAGCAAATACGCAGCAGTAAAGCCATGGCAAACATATAAAGTTTTCCTTCTATGGCTTTGATATAAAATATCCAATAAAAATAGACAAATGTCTTCCGAAATTATGCAATGCAACGATAATAAATACCCTTGACATTTCTTATGTTATAATAGCATCTTAGTAGGAGAATTCTCGAAATTAAAAATGGATGGAGTGACATTCGACAACTCTGCTATCGGGGTATAAGCCACGTGCTAATTGATTATTATTATTATCGTAAATGTAAATAAATTGGGTTTCATAGCACTATATGCCCATTACTTTATGTACCATATGTAGATATATACATATGTACATACCATATATGCAAATAAGTATTAAATGCAGAGGTAGCAATAACATCCGCAAGGATTTGTTGCAGAAAGTGTTTAAATTAAAGATTGACAAAATAAAGATAAAGTGCTATTGCCACATTCACTCTATGGCTCACTGGCTATGCTCCACCAAAAGCGTGCTTTCCCTTCAATTCTTGTTTACCATGTCCATGTCCATGCATTCGCGTACAATGAAAACCGAGAAATTAAGTAGAGTTCATTCACATTGACGAATTTGTAGTTGAACGACGATTCTACAGAGGTTGAAGTGGGTGATGGAATGGGGTCACCTAGCCACCTAACTGTCTCTTTCCAAAACCGAATGAAGTGAAGTTACCGGACCGGGTGGAAAAACGGGCGCATTATGGGCTAGACGCCGCATGGAAATGAGGTGAATAGCTGTATAGGTATATGGCGTGTACAAACTTATGTGCACTGCCTCTCAAAACGCAGTATTGTTTTCCTTTACCTATCTTTTGTGTTGCTAATTGCAAAAAAATTAAATTTACTGCATCACCCAAAAAGGAAAGTGCAAAATGTGGCAAGATGAATTAATAATTTATTAAAAAAAATTTAATTTTCGTTCACCCAACCAACGCACTCGTGCGCCTGTACATATATAATATATGTATGTATAAATGCATATATGATACGGTATACGAATAAACTCTCAATAGCTTCATTACCATTGCAGATATTTTTAAAACTTTAGAAAGTTGAGAAGGGGAAGTGTTCGGAAGTTGGTTGTACTCGAAAAGTTATGGAAAAGATGGGGTTTGTGGCAGAAGTAATGCGAGATGCACAATTTAAAAACAAAAGGCAGAAAAATAGTGGAAAATGTGAAAAATACAGAATATCAACAGCACAGAGTGTTGCTGAAAAAATTTAATTAGACGAATGTATAGTACGCTACGATACCAGTCATCGCGGTAACGCATTGATAGACGGAGAGGCGGAAAGTTGAATTCTGCATACAACTGTGGACGGTTATATGGAAAACTGCATTAGCTGTAGAATTGAGTGGCGACCTCTTTATGGGCGGTTGAAAGCGAATGAACGAAAAATTCACAGCGGTGAAGTGTACGAGTATAGTGCTACAACGATGTTAACAGGATTCGATGCAGCTGGGGAATTGTAAGCGCCGCCCTAGCTGTGGCTGGATGAAGATGATGGCACATGTGCACTTGTTATACTCCTCTTAGGTTAGCATGAGTGCAGAAATCAGGAAAAAGAAACAGTTCATTCTGCGTCAGTGTCAAATGAATTTAATTCTTTAACAAACAAAGCAATCCTTTAGTTAATTTAAGTAATATGAAAGAGTATGCTTATTCCTAAGACAATTCATGATAACATTTTATGACAGAAAATGATATATCTCCAAAACTGGCAATTATCTATGGCAATTATGACTATGCCATTACATATTTAATAGAGGGGGATCAACTCTTCCCCAATGAACAAGGCTACGAAAAATATAAGCGTTTTATCCACGTTCTCCACATATTAAGAAACTTAGAAATCAAAACACTGGGCTCCATAATCAAAAATTTGGCAAGATTTTCGATAAATGGGCGTCCATCAAAAGTTAGGGGTTAATTCCCATTTCCGCAAATATGTTTCTTGTATATCTTCATCATCGGTTATACAGTTCGAGGCGATTAAAGACAAGTCAACTATTATTGGAAAACCATCAACCGTTTCCACGAACCAATCAGCAGGTACAAATGTTTCACAATGTCTATCACCCCATTCAAAGAAAGTGTCTGCGATCCACCGTATAAAGGCATATTTTCATGCAGAGCAGGTTTATGCTTAATTCAGTTGTATATAATCCTTACTTCATATTTTTACTCGATTACTTGCACAAAAAACTCAGATATAAAATCACAGTAAAAAGTATGGCTTGATATTGGTTAAGTTAAATATCGAAAATGTTCTGTCAATGTCAATTTCGTATTACGAAGCAGGGAGCCCTGCAGGACTTTCTTTTAAGTGCAAAACCGGATGAATAGAATTTGAGTCCTCTCTGCCTGAAGCAACGGGCAAGTGAGAGGAAATGACATTGAGGTAAGGGTGCGAGAAGAGATATAATAAGTGGATCCCTACTTCTATATATACGCGTTTATGAATTTGTGCATATGTTTAAGTGGCATATTCAATTAAGGTTAAGGACAAGCCCCAATATTGCAAGGGCCACTTAGTCAGGCTCCGCAACTTGAAGCTTATAAAAAACGGTTCAGATTAGCTGCTGGTTGAGTGGATGCGACAACAGGTCTCAGTAATATCTAAAAGTACACACGCTCATTTCAAATGCCTACAGAAAGTTAACTGCAAAGAAAGACAATTATTTATCTAAAGACAACAAGCGAAATATTAAAGAGTGCAAAAAGAAAGACCAAATACCTACGGATGGTTTTTGCATTGGGTGGAGATTTGCCCCTAAATACATTTTATACATTTGCTTTTGGGCGCAACTGTACAAATTCATAAACGTAAAAAGTTCCACAGAATGAATGGATGGAAAGTCTAAAACTATTGCAAAAAGTCTGGGTACAGTCACATAAACAGTTTTTAGAGTAAAGCAGAAATACCTGGAAAAGTATCAGTTATTTAGTGAAGAAGTTAAATTGAAAGCCGCAACGACGAAATCTGCTAACTCATTACATTCATATTGTAACCTTGAATGTGATTTTGCTCGTTTATAAAATGTGATGTGAAACATAAATTTCGTCCATCAACTGATCACTGTCTGACATAAAGTACCCACATATAGACGAACAAATATTTACATGCAAGTAGTTACATACAACCACATTGGCACATGCCTAGTCTCTTGCGCTGCAAATAACGAATGCAGCAGCTAGCAAAACGCCTGGAGAGGGGATGTGTACAGGCAAGTAAGTATCGTACTTACTTACAACCATGCATATGTACATATGTATGCGAGTTAAAGTCGCATTCGTGTAGTCACTGCGCTGGATGCAGTGCGAACACCCTACTCATTGCAAAATGGAATTGGTGAGAGGGGCAGTGCAAAAACCTGTCCGTACATTGAACTTGCATATTTTGCTTCATTTTTATGTTTTTTTTTTTGTTATTTTTTTTATTTCCACCAGCTTGTAATTTTTTCGTTCATTTTTTGTTATTTCTTACTTAGCGTAATGAAACGGTGGTTTTTATACTCCGTCAGGCAATTCAAAGGTGTTGCTAGGGCCCACTGTTACGCAAGTTACTGGTGGATGAGGGCTGGGTTGCACTGAATTTTAATGGACTCAGCAGGCGGCTGCCGAAGTACACAACATTAGCAATGTTTTTATTTTGCTCTCAACACGGCAGTGCTACCGGTAGGTTTGGCTTCTTCGAGTACTTGTGTGAGATGGTCCGCTGCTTCGGCCGACAGCGCAAGTAATATTTTCAGATCGCTTTGCGAACGAATGTAAAGGTTTGTGTGAATTAGCGATGATTAATTCTCTTATATGTACATATATCAGATATTCAAAGTTAAATGCACAAATTTCTACATTTTAACAGAATAAAAATTTATGAAAGTTATGTAACAAAAAGGATTGAAAATAAAATTTTATTAAATTATTTAGAGTTAAAAAATTTGACATGATGCTAAATTAGCCAAGTAAACAAATTTTTAAAATAGTGTGTGGAGACAATAATTTTGTTTTAACTCAAATGTTTCTTATACTGTAAACAAACTATTTCAAAAGGACAAATTATTTTC